TATGTATAGTATTTAAGAAACTTATTTCCATGAAGAGAACCTTTTGGAACATCCCTGAGATATGATAATTGGAATCACTCACATTCTTTCTCTATGTCATTTTGCTCTCTTTTCAAGGATATAAGAAGAACGGTTCTGGATTAAAATAATAGTTTCTTTAGAGGAAGTTTGGGTGACAAACTAAAACATTACTTAAAGTGAATGTGCATGATGCCATCTTACCCTCATTCCAAGTAGCTCTTTAACCATGATCTGAAGCTTTTCTAAAGTTAAGTATGTCATCCAAATGTAATTCATTTCTGGTTAGTATAAACTGGAATTTGAAACCAAGGAATTAGTCAGAAATTAAGCTACTGGCTATTACATCATTCTGTGGTGATGAGTTTAAGAAACAAATCCCCATTAAATAGATCTTTGTCAGAGCCTGAAATCTGCATCATGGATACATTATACCAGCATTACAAGAATTCATTTAAGGCTATATCAATTTCAAGTTACCCTGGAAACGTTATTTTGCTAAGGTTTATTTGAATATTTGAAGGGAACCCCGTCTTTCATATGAATTGCTCCTCTTGTTGTAAAAAGGACTCCAGAAATTTTGTTACATTAGAAATGAGATTGCCTCACCCACCATGTACATTTTTTTTCCTCAAGTGGTGGTTGCCAATTTCTGAAATTCTAATTTGGTTCAATTCATGTATTTATGTAACACCCTGAAGCTATCCTTCCTAGATTCCAATAAACAATGATTTTTAAAAGTAGTGAATTGTGACATAATCCCAGTAATAATTTATTAAATGTTGGGAAATTAAAAATGTCTTTGGCGTCAAAAAAATAAATATTGGCACCAGGCAGATATATTTTTGTTATCTCAAGCTCTGCATTTGAAGCCTATTGCAGTCTATTATATTTTGTTGTTTATTGTGTTTTAATCTTGTGTTTATTGGCACGTCTTCAGAATGCAGTAAAAGGTGTTGTTATTGGTTCATGAACTGTTATTTTATGTTTTTTGTTTATTTACTATGGCTGTTTTTTGTTTATGTACTATGGCCCTGAGATTTCTGAAGGCTCTGAGTAGCTTACATCTAACAATAACAAAAAATTAAAACAATAGTCATCATCACTGTGGAGACTTCTTCCCAACCTTCTACCTGGGAATTGGCGCTAACTGGACACTAATCTTGAACCCATCTTCCCCTTTTCTTCATTGTTAAAGTTAGATCGGGCATAGCCCTGATCAATGCAAGTTTTGAAAACCACTGATTAAGGTATAAGTATTGTAAATTATAGAGCCCAACTCCTTGAAAAGAGCCTTTGTGTATGTCTCAACAAAGACAATGCTGACCCACTACATAAAAAGTGTTGTCTCACCTTTTTTTTACTCTTTCCCTAACCCACAAAGGAAAGGAAAGCCATACATTCAATTCCTTATTTTGACTAATTTTGTCCAGTGAATCAGTAACTATCATATTATTACTGAACTAGTTTTATGTATGTGTGACAAGGTCGTGAGGAAGTTGGAGTGCCTTGGGAATCCCATTTATTATTACCCCCCAAATAAAGAAGGCATTTTTTTTCTTGCAGCTGATGGAGATGAATCTTACAGCAAGGGCAGGAAACCCTTTTGCATCTGGGGGCTTCACTTTTTAGGGGTCTTTTTGGCAGGTGAGGTCTATAGGAGTAAAGCAATAACAATTGGAGGGTATGGGTGCAATCTGAATGAAAAATTATTAACAGGCATATTGAGACTGTTAAGATTTCTTTCTTTTCAGTGGAAAATTTGCTCTTTGAATAGAGTGTATCTTAGGTAAAAGGCTTCAGGTATTTGGTACAACTTATAAGTTGCCAAGATCTGTCTCATAGCAAAGAAATCAGATATGGCTCTAAATCACATAGCTGCAATGGAAAATGCCCCCTCTAAGTAAAATGGGTTGCGTGTTTGTACAAGGTAGCATGGCATTAAAATCTAGATAGGCCCAAATGTCTAGATTCCAAAGTGAGAATCATTTCCCTGGAATGTAGGCCTTTGGTTGCAAACACAACGTTAAAGAGAGACAGACATTCTACACATGTTTCAAAGCTGTTCATTCACTCCTTTGAGGATAGGACCTCCTATGGAAAACAAGTTTCTATCCAAGGTAGGCCCTTATACAGTCTGAACCTCAAGACAGTGAAACTGGTGACCACCCTTCAAACAAAGAATTCTTCAAAATTATTCTTTCACATATAATCTTCTAGTTTCTCTCTTGCCTCCCCCCCCCTTTCCATTTAATCATTTCACTCTGCCAGTCTGAAAAAGATTCTAGTGTTTGGCTGTTGCACAGAACCTTCTTTGTTGGAAGCAAAGCTTGCCTTTCAGTATCTGTGGAATTAGCCAGAGCAAACAGGAGGGGGTGGTGGCAGATAAACCCCTGACTCTGGGCAACTGTTAAAGGAAACTATTTTATAGATGAATGCAGTCCCTCACCTGGTAGAACAGAGCAATGAGCTAGTATTACAGAAGCATTAAAAAGGGGGTTATGTGTGCTTTGCTGTGAGTAACCCGTGAGCAAAATCTATCTGTGGGTCATATGCATGTATGTAGATATAGGGAGGGATAATTTCTATTTCTAATGTCAGAGGTTTACAGTATAATAATTCTAAGAAATGTCTTGGTTTTGAGATAAAATGGTGTGTCCATTTTTAATGGGTTAAGAATCTCTTAAACGTAAGTGCTGTTTTTTTTTTTTTAATGCCTTTTTTCATCCTTCTTGGCAGAGCTGAGATTACTGTTTTGAAGTATTTGATTACAGGATGTATACATATTTATTTTTGCTTGTAATTTTTTTGGCTTGGCCTATGGTAATTCAAATTACATCTTCCCTTGCCAGTGGGGGAGGTTTAAAATTACACCATAGAGTAATTACTAGCATCAGATGTACAAAGTCCCCTGCCACCTTCCCATTGCTGAATTAAAGGCTGCAGAAATAGGAGGCTGCAGGATTTTTTCCTCCCAAGCTTAGTTTTTTCTCTCCTGTTGTGGACAGATCTCTTGGTAATTGCATTCTGCTGCAATAATATCTCCTCTCTCCAAGAAGGGTGAATCAATCCATCAGCTCTGTATCATTTTACTAGAGACGTTGTTGAGTAGGATAGCAGTGAACAGACAGTCACGACACGAGTTTGAAATGACATATGTTGACAAAGTCATGGAGACCTATGACTCCTGTTGCTGTTGGCTTTAATAATACAAAGGAACGTTTACCTTTTGAGGATGCTGTTGGTGATTTGCAATACACAAGAGGGCATTCAACAAGCGTCTAGCTAGCTGTGGTTGGAAATGGGATAAGGGGCACTATAATTAGGGTTAAACAAGTCTTAAAGGAGACCTCCAGCTCTTGATGATTTGGTTCAGTTTCCTTTACACTCCTCCACTAATTTTATAGCGCTGATTTTGACTCTTTTGTGAGTCCCTGCTTTAATCTTTTCCTGGAGGTAGAACCCCTTTTAAAAGAAAAAACAGCCACAGAAAGCAAGGTGATGATGATGCAGTGATGTATCTGCAGGAGACAGGATGAAATGTTTGGCCCTTTTGGATAGGTCTCTTTTTTTAAAAAGTAAAAAATGTACTAAGCCTATGGAGGATTTGACACACCTATTCTACTTATTTTTGTTCATTTTCAGGGAAAACCAACATTAAGATGCACTATCATTATTTGTCAGTTAACTGCTGAACATTCACAACTTGATTTTGGGGGCTCAGGAATGACACAAAAGAGGGTGCAGCGACTGATCACCAACATTTGCTTTAAACCCCCAAATTAGCCTTTCCTGACCTAGCCTAGACCGCTGGCAAGGAAATCAGGGAGTTGGAGTCTCAGTGCTTTTGAAGGGTGGGAGCTGGGGAAGGGGACCCTCAATGGTTTGTGACTAGACTGTGTCAAGAATAGCCTTATTCCCACTGAACATACTCAATTCAGCTTCAGCTTTAGACCTCACCACCATCTAAAATAAGATGGGAAGGAATCAGGAAAAAATCTTTTTGTTTGTGACAGCCAGATTGTAGAATACCTTCTCTTAGGATCTTACCTATGTATTTATTTAGCAAATGTATGTATGTATTTGGCAAATTCATATATTTAGCAAATTTATATATTTATATTTTGTAAAGGGCCTGTACAAAATCTTGATTTGTATTACGTACTCTGCAGCTGTTTCTAAACTTCTATTTATTCTTGCTTCTTTTTTTTTTCATTTAAGGTCACATTATTATCTTGCTTTATTTGCCAATTATTTGTTTACCATTAGTTTTTTTTAAAATTAAAGATAGCATATAAATTAATCAAGGCTTTCACAATCCCATGAACTTTATTCCACTGTCATCTTACTCACTCAGCCTAACTCACCAAGGTCCAAGGCAGAGAC